TTGTATAACAGGGACTTAGGGGAGACCAACTTATCGCGGTCCCCTTGTAGTGCAATAGCGTGGTTTCATTGTGGGAGGTTGCAGGCTAATCACCACACTACCCGGTATTCTAAACTGAGGTAGTTTCTTCACGGCCACAGTATGCTCAAACAACAGTTCACATTGACAGTAATGTCTTGCGAACGATAGGCACATGGTCAATCTATGGCTTTCAGTTGGAATTTTGTATTTGCCATTTTCCATCACCAAGCTCCTCGTCGTGAAGTTGTGCCAGCGTAACGTTAAACAAACCCATTGCCAGTATTTATCTGTTTTAGCGTGAAGAAAAAAAAAAGATGTTGGTCTCGAAATGGATATTTTCTGGAACGGTAACTGAAGTCCCACGATTGATGCAAGGCACGACGACTGCGAGGACCGATGATAACAGGACGACGTTGGGACATAAACGACGTTTCGGCTGTGTATGTGTACGTTCAAACGCTCTGTTAGCACCATCATACTACTGTTGTAATACTACGTAGTACTAGTAGTATTATGGCTAGAGGTATACTAGTAACAGAGTAGCCGTCATGCGAAAAAGCCCCCCCTCCCCATATCATTGCAAACCATTTGAAAAATTCCACTTTGTAGTCAAACAAATGGCCCTGCTATGGCAATGTGACGTCCTTTATTTCGATTGCCCCATCGTGGGACCTTCAGTTCTTCTTTATTATATCGAAGTGTGTCGTACTCGCTCAAGAAGTGACGGGGGCTAAATGTTTTTTATATGATATTGACAGTTTAACTTACACTACCGGTAGATATACTACGTAGTAATAGTAATTGTATATTTCAAACCGTCATTCTATGAATGGGGGGTTAGGTGGGTTAGCTCAGTGGTAGAGCGTTGGATTCCAGACCCATCGGTCATGGGTTCAACTCCATACTCCTCATCTTTTGCCCCAAATATGTTAAAATCCTTTCGGTTTTCGGGAATATCCATTTGTGAACTTTTTTGGGCAAATAAAATTTGGCGTCTGAAGATATAATTGGGCTGAAGTGACCACCTCTTCAGAGTCACTTTACTACAAAAGTTGACTTGTTACGATATCGTCGGTCAGTTAGCGATGGAATCGGCAGGTTTTAGGTCATAGCACGGAAATCCTCGTCCACTGAACTTCAACTTACAGTTAACTCAGTTCAGGGAAAACCTCGCCACGACATATGATTGGCTTAGCGATTCCACAGAACAAATTCTAGCCAATCAAAGTAATAAACTCACGCCCGTTGTCAATTCTCGTGAGTTCATTTCTCAATATCGGACGTCGATGGAAAGCAACCGACGTGCCTGGGTTGCCCTAGTTGATGGCAAAGGTGCCCAGCTAACGTCGCCAGGCAAAGTGAGCGTCTCCCCCGACAACGACGTCGACGATGTTAAACAAGCTGTGAAAGTGAAATTTCACAACCTCTTGGAGAGAATCGCGCGACCTGACCTTTCTGTCTACGCCGACCAGGCCGCATTTGCTCGCAATGATGCTCCTCTTGCTGCCGATGCAAGGGTTGAAGGTTATGGCGAACATTGGGCAAATCCCATCTTGGTGGTTGCTCCGTCCACATCAAACAAGCGCCAACGTGAAGACCACGTCGAAACACACGGGGCTGTGGAAAGCCCTGTTTCAGTGTTCAGCAACAAGGCTTGGCGAAACTTCGTCTCAACTGTGAAACCAAAGTTGTCTGGTAAGCACCCCCTTGATCTGCTGCACTTCTAACCAAACATGATAGACTCCAACTTCTTTCACGCGCTTTGCACCGCTCCCATCAACCCAGTCGACAGAATCGAGGACCTTCCAATCGCCGAGCCCGTTCCAGGCTGTATCACCACGTTCACGGATCCGATTACGAAGGTCCAGGTGGTCTGCTTGCCGCACCGTTTGCCACGATCCACTCTGATTTTGAACCACGTCGTATTCATCCGGCCTTTCACTGTCGCGATGGTCAATGCAATGACCGCATGCACGGAACCCCGCATTGTTTTGGTTGGCAATGCTGGCATTGG